CCCAGCAGTTCAGGATCCTCCAGACCCATCAATGCCCCTTCCTCCTCCCCCCAGTGATTCCTCCCAGTCCCTAACGGCATCACAGTAATCCCCCTTTCCCCCTGCCTAGGCCTCCTTCCTGTCCTACCTCTGTACCACCTCCAGACCTCACCAGGCACTCACCACTGCCAGGGGATGGGACTCTGGATGCAGAATGGGATTTTATCTTCCCCACCCCGCAGATCCTGCCCTTCTGCAAGCCACTGGGCCGCTCCTCTCGCCTATAGGCAAGCTGGAACCCAGTCGGCAGGCGCCAGAAATGAGGGCGGAAAAGGAAAGAGCAGAGCAGCCACTGGAGGTTGGGGGAGGCAGCAGTTGGGAAGAGGCAGAACTCCGATGCAGGGCACTGCCTCTCCAGACAAGCATCTTACCTGGCTGAAATCCAGGCTCTTTCCCAGGCGGGGGCTGTCCGTTCTCCTCCCTCTCCTCCCCCTCCCCACGCACTCTGATTCTCACCTCTGGGCTGTGTTGTGTAACCAGGGGCAGGCATGGGGACGGTGGGTTGCACTCCGGGGCCTACCTGGGGGGTGCTGATGTACGCAAGGAACCGCTGGGCTTCGCTTTGGAGGGACTCGCTGCCATCAGCCCAGGGCTGCAGGGCCACATGCTGCTGGGTTTTCTGAGGTCACAGAGATAAAATGCACAATGAGTCCAGTGCTGGGAGTGCTGAGGCATGCTGGGAAATGAACCAGCCTCAGCTCCTGAGTGTCTAAGACGATTCAGATGTGTTGGAGGAAGCTGCCAAGGCACTGAAGGGTTTAATAGCCCAGAAACAGGCTCAGCACGGCAGCACCCCAGCGCCCGGACAGCCAGAGGACGTCCGCTGCTGAAGTGCTAATGCTCCGGGCTGTGCTTTTATCAGCTGCGCAAGGCTGGGCAGCACGCAGAGGGGAAACCTCCAAGGACAGCCAAGGGGCTGCAGTCCTCTACTCTGGGTCACTGCTGACCCCACTGGGCTGCAGGGAGCAATGGGTAGTTAAGCCATTAGGGGGCGCTCTGTCCTAGGAATCACTGCTGACCCCAGTGTAGTGCTAGGGGGCGCTGTGCTGCAGGGAGCAATGGGTAGATAAGCCATTAGGGGGCGCTCTCTCCTAGGAGTCACTGCAGAGTCTAATGCCCCAGTGCAGTGCTGGGGGGTGCAGTGCTGTAAGGGGTCAGTAAGCCATTAGGGGGCGCTCTCTCCTCTGAGTCAGAATGAATCCAATTGACCCAGGCAGTACTAGCAGGTTCTGTGCTGCTGGATGGGACATTTCTGGTGGCTGAAGAGTGGCGCTGAGGCCCTGGAGGCTCACAGACACTATAAGCTCTTCAGACACATGTCACGGAAGTAGGGCGTGAAGCCACCCTGTGTCCCGGCCATACTCCAACTCAGGTAACTGCACTTCACCTGCCTAAAAATCTCCCTGCCGTTTTACCTGGAGAGGATATTTTAATCTTTCCTTGCTACAATGTCCTTGTGTGGTCCTGCTGGAGGAGAATTGGCTGCTGCGCTCTACCCCAGACCTGGCTGCCCTTTGCCAGGGGATGAAGCAATCCTTTTATAATCGGGGCTGGATCCTACCACCTCCTGCACTGGAGGCCAAATGGGCACATAGGGCCCAAGCCGTGCTCCCACTGAAAGCAGTGGCAAAATTCCCGTTTACATCAATGGCTTGGGACTGGCAGTGGAATATTTTCCACGTGGTAGCAATAGCCAACCCGGGCCACAGGAGAGCCCTGCCGACATGAGAGCTCCCACCTCACCTGCCAATAGGAGTGCAGTGCACAGCTTAGGGGAAACACCCAGACCCCCCTGCCCACCTGAGGGGCTGGCACATATGCTGCAATGAGCAGGAACAAGACAAAGGGTGGCTTGGGACTGGCAGTGGAATATTTTCCACGTGGTAGCAATAGCCAACCCGGGCCACAGGAGAGCCCTGCCGACATGAGAGCTCCCACCTCACCTGCCAATAGGAGTGCAGTGCACAGCTTAGGGGAAACACCCAGACCCCCCTGCCCACCTGAGGGGCTGGCACATATGCTGCAATGAGCAGGAACAAGACAAAGGGCTCCAACCACGGACCCCCCCCCCCGAGAGAGAGAGAGAGAGAGAGGCTCTAGAGCCCCAGACCCCCCCCCCCCCCCCGAGAAAGAGAGAGGCTCCAGAGTTCACAGCAGTAGCAGCACCATCACTAATCATGCCACCGGGGCGGAGGACAGTGTCAGGAGACATTGCTGCAGCTGGCCAGGGCTCCCCACTGCATGGGGGCGTTCCTGTTGGATCTCTATCCGCAGCGCTGCTGGGGCAGACTGACCTTTGCTGCTAACTGGAGAGACTTTGCATTTCTAGTGTCTCTCACCTGAGGGACACCACACTGTTTACAAACTTTACTTAACCATGTCTCCCTCCACCCCCCCCCCCCCCCCCCACCCCCGAGTTCTCATTATCCCCATTTTCAAAGTGGAGAAACCAAGACCCAGGGAAGGGGAATAAATTGCCCTAAGGTCACCTCGCAAGTCGGTGGCAGAGCCTGGCATAGACCCCCTCCCCCCCGCCAGCCATCTCCGACTCCTAGGGAACACTGTCTCCTGAACAAGCCCTGAAGCTCTCTCCCTCCCAGCATGGGTGGAGAGGTGCAATGCGGGGGAGACAATGGCCCCCTTTCCACAGGCAGGAGGCTCTGAGGGAAAGTCAGCTACAGCAGGAAAATGGCTCTGCCTTATCAGCATGATCAGCAATAGGCCTGCAAACAGCCCAGAGCTTCCTGCGGCAGCAGCTGGACAGCCAGCCTCAAGCACAGGCAAACTAATGACCACCTAGGGCCCCACAGCCCAAGCAAGCTGCATCCAGCTCTCAGGTTGGCCCAGCCTCCCTCTGCAGCGGTAGGACCCGCAGAGTCAGTCCCACTGTTATGAGGCACAAAGGACTCTTGGCTTTAACTGGGGTGGGGGGTCCCTTGCTCATGGCTCTGCCCTCCCAGCAATCCCTCAAAGAGCTGCCAGTTCCCCAGGGTGGTACTGCCTGGCAGACCTGATCCTCATCCGCCTCGGGGCGAGGGGGGCTCCGGGAGGTGGTAAGTGGGAGTGTGGTGCTGGGGGGGTTGGGGTGAGGGGCTGATGTTGAGAAGGAGGTGTGCGTCCTGGTGAGGGGCTGGAAGAGAGAGGTGGGTATCGGGGAAGGGTGAAGATGGTGGAATGCTCGGGGTCGGGGAACAGAAAAGTGAGGGGTCGAGTGGGGGTGATGGAGGAGAGATGGAGAGGGGGGCACCTCTGGGGGCTGGTGGGGAGCAGGAGGTGAGGG